TCCACAGGCAGTACAGATATACAAATAGATATTCTTTTCATCCAGTCATTATTAACTGCTTCCTCCTTGATAGATAGGAGTCCGAAACAAATTATAATAATGTTTCAATCATAATTTTTCCTCATACAATGTTACATGTATATTACGATGTATAAGCTCATTCATAACATGTTCAACATAAATGTTCAAACTCATTGTGAAATAGATTTTTCACCTCTTCTTAAGGCTTTAAATCTGACACCTTGCTATTCTTTGGATCTTATATCCACTTGTTAGATTTGCTGTTCATGACTGAGATAGCAAACTGTTACATCAACACTAAGTGATTGCTGTTATGAGACGACCGGGATTTGCTACACTCAAATCATTGTGTTCGTCTAAAACCCCTTTACAGCAAATTAAGACTTTTATAGTTTCCATGACTGCCACAAGCTCTCAAACATCTTTGGATTTTCTGATATTTCTGAACCTCCAGCATTAATTTTAGCTTTATTGTGCCAAAAAATAGAATATATATATATATATATACATACATTATATCACTTATTTTTTAATCATCATCCCGAAACGAAACTGCATAAAAAAATTTACATGCGCTGTCCCTGTTGCAGCAAGTGGGAGGCTTTGTGCACAGTGTGCAAACTGTGCACAAACTGTGACTGAGTACTTTGTATCTGGGAAAACAGAGGATGATGTAAATGCAGCTGAAGGTGCAATAACATTTCATACTGTGTCAAATGTGATGTTCAATGATCTGTCAAAAACTATGTGATGTATTTGAAACTGAGGGCAGTTGAAACTGGTATGCAAGTAGTGTTGGCAAACTATCAGATGATTAAAGAACAATGTTTTTAATTTTTCTTCAGCTGCTTTTTGGTATCCTTTTTGTTGGAGTCAGAGGAACTGCAGGACCTCATGCATAAAGCAGCCATAGTGCAAAGAGTTGTAAACAAATCAGAACACTCTGAGCTCTGCCAACAAGATTATGTTAGCATCAAGCCAGCCCACGCAGGTCTTAGGATCCACTCATCAGTAAAAAACCAGTGCTGGTAACAGGATCCTCCATAGTCCGACCAGGACCCAGAAGTTCTGCTACCATAAAAATGATTAGGAACAATCAGAACCTCACCATTACAGATTTGTGCATGCTAAAAACAGTCAGAGAACTCTCACACTCCATCACATCTATGAGGGAGAGCTCTGCGTTCATGAAGCAACGTACAGTAGAAGACATTAGATATTCTGTTTGATTTGGTCAAGTCCAAAGGTTTGGTGTGAGGCTAGTGTTAAGATCGCCTTGTTCAAGATGTGAAATATTATTTCTATGGCAACAAAACATCAATAAAGTAAAATAATCACTGCAGTTTTAGATTGTAAAGAAACAACAGTTGATATTTAAATATCTTTTTTTACAGTTATGCTGCTTGTGCTGTATGCAACTGATAAAAATAAAGACTGTAAGGTACATGGCCATCGAAAATGACAACATGGCTACAGTACTCAATTTTGGCCCGAAGCTGTTTTTGAAAATATTTTAGATCAGAGACGTTATTACCTTTTGGACTTGTCCCAGTTCTGTCCCAAAAAACCTTTCTAGGAGACATGCTTGACCTTGATTAGTTAGGTTGTTCGTAGCAAGGACTAACTCAGAAGGTTGTATTGTCTGTTAAACACAGGTACTCCATTTAGGTTAAAGCCACTTCCAAGAATATTTCACGGGGAACAGTTCATCAGGTCTAGTTACGCAAAACTTCAAAAATAAAATTATTTTAGTAAAGTTTTTATAGGGGTTACATTCTGAAGAAGGAGCATTAACTGAAGCTGCTGAAATTAATCACCAAAGCCAAAAAGGCATCTGAAGGACACCACTGCTGTTCAGATGAATAGATCTTCCTCATTTAGACCAAAAGAAGACCTCTATTGTGATGGGAGGGTTGATGAGGTTAAACGTCCCTTCCTCCTCCTACTGAGTCTCTGTCGGCTGCAGACAGATTGCTGTAAAGAAGAGAAGGGACAGTCTGGAAAAGTGCAGAATGATGAAAACTGTGAAAAAAAGACCAACAAAAAAAACCCTCTTGGATCCTTTTACCTTTAATCCGGTAAGAATTGTCTTCCTCCCCAGCAGCTATGTTGGTATTTACCACCCTTTGTGAAATGTGGTGCAATAAAAGTACAATAGGGTCATTACAGGTTTTTTTCCCAGTAGGAATACACATAACATTAGTCTCACTGTTGTTACCAAGCATATCTCATATGTGCCCATTTGATCTTTTGGATGATAACAATACAGAAGGTGTATTCTATTGGATTGACATTTGGAGGTCAGTAGTTGGGACCTACTGACATTTCTTTAAGCTCTTTGCAACCACAAGATATTTAATGTTAAAACAAACTGCGGTGGTAAAGATGAAACAAGGCATGACAAGTGTACGGTATAAGCATCTTTAGGCAACAAGACAATTCAAAGTGCATACATGATGAAAATATATGAGCAATTTTTTATTTTTTTTAGGCTCTAGTGGCCTTTATTTTCATTATTTTTCAAGACAGGAAAGTGGGTTAGAAGAGAGGGGACAGTCATTCGGCAAAGGTCAGCAGGACCGGGACTCAAACCTGCGACAGCCAGTATTTGGCTCATGAGCAGAGTAGTTTAATACAGCAGAAAAAAAAAAACATTCAAAAATAGCTTGAACAAATGTGTTTTTGTCCTTAATTAAAAAAAATATGTTTTACCATTCTTTTTGTTTTCTGGGAGTTTATTAGAGCATTAAAACAGAGTGCTGCTTCTCCATGTTTTGCTGTGATTCGAGGTTATGTGGAAAATTGAACGGGAAGTAGAGAGGGTTTCTGGAAGGTTGATACAACGTCAGATCTTTTTTGTATTTTGGTGATTTATAAATTAACAGAAGTCCTCTAAAGTTTAATCAACTGATCTGCTTTCCTAGTTTTAGTGAGGACCTGGGCAGCAGCATTCTACCTCAACTCTAGCTGTCTGATCAACTTTTTCAGGCAGACCTGTGAATGTTGTTTTATTAATAATTTCAAAAATTGTTTAGTTAATACAAATTAAAGATTAATTAAAGAATTAGTCATTTAAAGTTCATTAGGTGAGGCCAGACAGACTTTGTAACTGTCTTTATGTATCTCTGATGGGCCATGTCCAAGTCCCAGATTTTATGCCTGATAGTGTTTTCTATATGATAACTAAAACATCTTGGCATTTATGAGTAGTGTCGTCTAAGTTCTGTAGTTTTCTTAATGAGTTGCACGACATGAAACTAGTTTCACTTAAAACTAATCTGATTCCCATTCTATCATAAACCTGTTCACAAACGTCCCATCCCTGATCAGATGAAAGTGTGTATGGAAAAGGGACGACAAATTAATAGGAATTAGTGTAAACTCTATTTTTTCTGACCTTGTGATTAAAAGAAAACTACATTACGGAATTTCAAAACCTTGATGTCTTCGAATTTCTGCAAAAAGTATTTACTTTCAGCCAAATCAAAATTCTTCACATTTGATGCGATTTCCTGAATATGACTGTTTGTCCTTGAAATCAATA